TCAAGGACATGAAGAAGCCAGTCCTCATTCTCCAGTTAATTTCCCCCCCATGGAGGAAGGTGAAGTAGCCTGACATCCTCAAATATGTACTTTAAATCTGCTCATAATTACTGTTATCTAAATGTCTCTGAACTATTTGAAATCCACTTCATTTTGAACTGCCATTAATAATGCAGCAAGCAATATTACAAAGACTGGTGAAAATCAAGTAATTTAATGTAACACTTTCTAAACCAAACCTGCAGTGAATTTCAGCTGCCTCTCAGCTTCTCTGCAATCAATCTGTCTGGAGTCATGTTTATGTATCTTAGGACCCACAACAGACTGCCACTAGACTTGGCATTCACAACCACATCAGGAGGTTGATTCAATGTGAATCCAGCATGAAAAATCAGATTAAGTTTTTATTCTCTCTTTTATTAAATAAAATTGATCTTTATTGAATAAAGCTGCTTTTATTAATATATAAAACATTGGTTGGTGTCACAGAGCCCACCAGTCCTATGGAACTAATAAAAGACAGAAGTAAGAAGTGAGAACATTAGCGGGAAATGTTAGAAACCAAACCACATTAAGCCAGTTTTGCAGCTGACAAATAAAACATGGGTCTAGCTGTAGACTTTTTTTGTTTAGTCTGAATTTATTATCTTTATTGAAAGAAATCTAAACAGAATGGGGGTTCTCCCAGAAGTACACAAAGGAAGAAACACACTAAGAGCAAAAAAGTGCAACTTAGTTTCCCCTTCCATTGTAAAATGTCTCAAATTACTGTAAATTCAATGCAGCTAGGACAAAGTAAAAAACCCTCTGGTTTTATGTGAACACAGCTTGAATCTGAAGCTAGAAAGGTTTCCTTTATATTTCACATTTTTAAGAAAACTTTTGGGGTTCTGCACATAGGCAAAATTTACAAGAGAAATTCTTACTTATCACATCTGTAATTTATGGTCACCTAAGTAGTGATTATTTGAAGTGAGCACACAGTAAATGTTCTATACATATCAATTGCACAGCTAGAGCAACAGGTGTCTGTGATGAGTCTGTCCACAACTAAGAGTATCTCCCCTATCTAGACACCACCAAGAAAGAGAAGAAAAAGAAGAATATATATCTCATATATATACACTTAAATAAAGTAATTTTAAATGTTAATCCTATAAACAGCAATATTTTCCATTACTAATACACTATTAACATTCTAGATTAATGAACTACAGCATAAGTAGTGTGGAAAACACAGGCTATTGCACTCAGCTTTTCATCTTCGATGCTCCTACTTAACTTATGGCCACAGTGCACTTCAATAGCAGTGGAAGATCTGCACTGAACAATCTTCAGAGATGGCTAAGAGCCTTCTGGAAGAAGGAACACAACTAACAAGCTCCATTTAGCAGTTCTTTGTACACCACTACTCCCACTGAAGGCAGTGGATGCACAAGTGAGATTAAAGTGAAGGAAACCAGCTTCCTATACAACTACAATTATCAAAGACATAATCCACTGAAATCATCAGTGAAGCATTTTAACAATGTGGACAGAATGACATGGTCTGATGCTAAGTATCATTATGGAATCAGCAAAATTGCATAAAGAAAGCCAAAGATATAGTTTGTCCATAATGAGACAAAAAAATCTAGGATGTAAGATTCAGATAATCAAGATATAAGATACAGAGATCAAGAGAGTTCAAAGAATACTCTAACATGGATAATTCCAAAGGGAAGAGAATTAAATCCAAATATCCAGACACTTCTCTCCTAGAAGTATAACCAAAACTAAATGTTTGGGGGGTTGGTTTCTGGGAGATTTACACACACATATTTTCCCATAATAGAAGATTGGCATCACTGCAAATGTACTATCCACATCTCCAGTCTGTGTGAAACACTCTTGGGTATTCAAGGTAATACTACCTAAATACAATTGCCAAGCCTCTGCATTTATAAAAACAGAGAGAAAAAGAAAATCAAAACATCACCTTTGTGGCCTGAGATCTAATTAGAAAGCAACTTGTGATAAGATTGCAGCCCAGAATGACAGAAAACACAATGCTCAGCAGAATGCAGACAGAAAAAGTAACTAAAATATTCACCTTGTTTTGTCAAGTTAGTCCTGAAATTTTAAATTTATTAAATCAGGTTTTTTATCTGACAACAAACATTCATAATGTAAAGGGTTCCTCAGTCTTAATAATAAATATCCTAAAATTGTTTAGTATCTTACTGGAGATGTTCAGATCCTTGTAGACTTAAGCCGAGCATGGAACCTGGTACTCCAGTACATTGTTAATTTTTTATTCTACTCCAATGAAGCTAATGAGAAGTTATCCCCTTAAATAAGGGAACAAAATGCCCACACAATTGTTCCTGTTGGATTAGTCTGTTTTCATTAAGATCAGTTAGGCTTAGTTATCTTTACATTGAAGATTTCTGAAGAATATTTTTTTCATAGTTGGTACCAAATGGCAAATTGCCCAGCTGACTGAAGGCAAGCAATGGCTCCCTAGACCTGACTCAGGGAAACTCCTGGTTGAAGATAGAGCTGTCAAATGGAACTGCCCCCATAACTAGTTACATAGACAAAGGATAGAGATTATAAAAGTATGTATGTATATACACACACATATATACTTAGACTGACAATATATTAAAATACATGGATTATATCAGTGATAAATTGTTCTAATAAGAGCATAAAGCTCTTTATTGAAAACAACATTTCACTTTTCAGGCTGGAGTTATTTTCTGCATTTACCAGATAAAAAGCAGAGCAAAACCACAGTAGTATTCTCAAGTCTTCAACATTATTACCTGAAAGATTTGGAAACTGTGCAGTAAAAAGGTGTGTTGCCATGGTTCTGAGTAATCAGCAACAGACCTATACACAATAGACAGCTGATTGCTGTTGCATGTTAGAAGATATTTTTTTTTATCTTTTTAGGAAAACTTTGTCATGCCATGAATGAGAGAGTTTTTCCATTAGCAACAGAAAGACAAAGAAACATGCCCTGTAGAAGTAATTAAGTCAGATTAATTTTTTTTGGTTTTTACCTTCTTACAGGGGGAGGGGGGAATCAACCTTTTACACTGTAAAGTTTATACTGTAAATCTCTGGAACACAGTGGTCTTTTCAATGTACTAAGGCACAGCAGTACAATTGGAATCTATAGCCAACTATGGAAATAGACAATTACAATAAAGATACATGTCTGTATTAATAAATAGCAGAGTCCCAGCAATCACACAGGAGTATATTGGGTATTTGAAGTGCAAAATAAATAGCACAGACAATACCAGAAATTATAATGGTATCTTGTGTATCTGGTCTCAAGTCATATCAGATTTAATGAGACTTCACAGTCACAATCCAGCGAAAAACATCACTTTTCAGTTTTTATAGCTTTTTTTAAACAAACAAACAAAATCTTAGAGATATACTTTCCAAGTCAATTTTTTAATGTTTGTCTTTCAAAGGAGATGAAAATAACATTTAATAATAATAGATGGATGTTATAATTGCTGATTTGGCAATAAAACAAACACTGTACTCTATAGGACCAAAATACCACATACACTATCTTGGAATAAACTGCGATCTCAGTCACATATTATGTTAATGCAGCATTAAGGCTGCAATCTGAAGCACACAAGAAAATAGGAGGTGGGGAACTTAATATTCTTACTGCATTGTTAGCCTATCCAAAGTACTGATATTGCTTATAATAAAATACATGATTTACAACCTAGCTGGGAAATCAAAAGCTACTGGTGTGCAACAAGAATGAAGCAATCTTTTAAAAAGACT